TTTCAAATGAAAACAATAAGAAAAGTGAAAAAAGAAAAATACAAAAACATTATGATGACCCATGATTGTTTGGATTGGAATACACTTTTTTTTCAACCCAAACTAAAAAGCAACAAATTCCCCTCTTTTTTCTCCACAAATCCAATCGAATTAGGTTCTGAAAATCGCTTCCAAATCCCAAACAACAGAAAACAAGAAAGCGTTGCAGAAAATAGAGAGAGAAAAACAAAAAAAAATCACAAATGCGAACGCCATGTTGCCATTCGTTCCTCGCGTTCATCCTCAAATTCCTGAATTTTCTGCAGGCATTTGTTGGCCTCGCCATAATCTTGTACTCCGCTTACCTGCTCAACCAATGGCAACGCCACAATCACTACCTTCCGCCGCCGGGAGCTCTCAATTTGGCGCTCGGTTTTGATGTCAGCTCTTTACCCGCACCTTGGTACTGACCCTTCACTATTTTTCCTTGTCTGTTGTTCTTGGGTCTTTATGATTTTTCTATGATGTCAAATTTGGTTGCACCCTGTTGTGTTTGTTGATGGGTTAGAGCTTAAATTTGGCTGGGGGCGAAAAAGTTTCGATTTTTATGTTAGTTAGTGATTACATTTCCATATGATTTATGGACAGGTTTATATATGCGTTTATGGGGATTGGGATTTTGGTATGTTGCATAACTTTCATTGGCCACATTGCTGCAGAGGCTATCAATGGCTGCTGTCTTTGTTTTGTATCCTTTTCTCTTATCCTCTTTTCTCTGCGTCTTGTGTGGAGAAAATGTCAGATAAAGGGACAAATAGCATCAGGAAATTAAGCCAGAAAAACGTTATGGATGATGCAGAAAATTTCGAGCACGTCAATCTTCACTCAAGCTTAATATAAGGGCGTGTTTGTTGTTGATGTCAAAGGTTCTTTGGCTTAATATTTCTGATGAATTTTCTTACATCATTTATCCTTGACCACAAAAAACCTTAGTATGCTATACTTGCTACCCTGTTTATTCTGTTGGAAGCTGGTTTGGTGGCTTTCATAGCTCTTGATCACAATTGGGAGAAGGTAGAGGTTTTTGCTACTATTTTTATGCTGATTCTCGTACATTTATCCCTGTACGGTCATGACATCAATTTTTCTTCAGGATATCCCATTTGATCCCACTGGAGAACTTGACAGAATACGGACCTTTATAGAAGACAATGTTGATGTCTTTATGTGGGTTGGCATTGCCATTGTTGTAATGCAGGCAGGTTTTGTGTTTCCATTTCGCCTTAGTTTTATATATCTAACACCACCCCAACTCCCCTAAGCAGAAAAGAAAAAGAAAGAAAGAAAGAAAGAAAATATAAATTCGGTGAACTGCACTACTACATTTTTTCATTGTGAATTTGGCGTCAGCTCGTCAGTTGACGTTGAGATAACTCCAACTTGTTTAAATCAAAGTAAAGATTTTAATAGATAATAATAACCAAAAAGACTATCAGAGCTACTTGCTTTCAAGAGTGATCTGTGGTCTCTAGTTGGTTAATTTCTGATTAATTAAGTTATCACTATGAGGTAATTTTCACTGGTTAGTCGTTCTTCTTTTTGCATTATTTGATCGTTCTTTACCACTGCTATAAGAACTATACAACTACTAGGTCTTCACGTGGACTATATTTTGCAATTTCTTGCCTCTTTTATACCTGTAGATATCTAGCTACTACTCACTATTTACCATGATGAAAACGTGTGGATCTTAGTATTCTTACAAACCATAAAATGATAGACATAGCAGTCATGGTTTATTTAATAGTTTCTTATGTGCTTTGATAATCCTAGAAATGAAATATCTCTTTACAGGTCTTATCCCTACTTTTTGCATTGATATTGAGATCCTTAGTTTCTGTTCGGCAAGAGGATGATGACATTGAGGGAGACTATGATTACAGGAGTAATAGCCGTGAACCACTCCTTGCTCCTTATTCGAGCCAATCATCTGTTTCAGCTAGAGGTGACTCTGATATATGGAGTTCAAGGATGAGAGAGAAGGTTTGTCTTTGAATTGTTTTTAAAAAAACATGCTTTTGCAACAATCACATGGAATTGATTCCTGTATTATGAATTACTGTTTCTTTATTTGTTCATCCATTTAGCATCATAATCACTTGAAGCCTGTTAAACTGATTTTATCTGAGTTGGCGTTTTCCACCGATTGTGAAAGCTAGATAGAACCAATATCATTGATATGATAGGCTTGATTGACAATTGACCAAAATGGCCACACATCAAAGAGTTGCTTTCCAAGTATAACAAGATGATTCAAAGTTGGTGGCCCCATCTTATTCAACTTTGCCCTTTTTCTGCTTGTCTGAGATTCTCCTTAATGGTTCTATGAACGATTGCTATTGTATTAACTTTTACAAAATCAGTGTGAGTAATGAAGTTTGTTTGCATAGTCCTAGAATTTATATCAGATATTTTGCTCTGTATATTATTGCAGTGAATGATAACTTGTGGTCTTCTTCATGAGATGTCTACTTGACCAGTGAAACACACCCTTTGTAAATTTTACGATTTGTTATTTGTTCTTATGTATCTCTTGAGTCAACTCTTGTAAATTTATCCCTTATTGCAGTATGGTCTGAACAATGGCGAAACAAAAAGCAGTTTACTGAACCAGAATCCATCAAGTGATGCTAAACCTTGAAAGGTACTTAGTATACGGTGTGTCTCTCTCTCGAAACTGCTTGTTTGT